AGCTGGGAACAGAAGTGGGATGATAAAGGGCAAATCCTTATGAGGCTCTGCCGGCCCCGGGATCTATAACCACCTAACACTGTGCACCCTGGGCTCGCACAGAAATTGGCATTTATAGGTGCATTGAGCAAGATTGCGGGCGGCGGGGGGAGTAGGTGTGTTTTCAGACCTGCCCTCTTTTTCTAATCAGCTGTGTGAGATTAGATAAATAACAACCTCTCTGAACTTCACTTCTCCCACGTGGGTTAAAAAACAAGGCTGATTTCTCCAGCTCTTCTCCAGTTGTGAAGTACTCTAACTTTGTATGGATCTCCTAGTTTAATAATATGGGAAGAAGTTGGAGGGAAAAGTTAGGCCACCAAAGTTTATATAGCATTGGGCAATATAGAAACATGTAAATATAATATGCATTCTAATATACAATATGGTATCATATATATTGTTATGTTATATTTTCTATTGTGACATACACAATGGTATAATGCTGCCCAACATTACATTAGCCAGCCGACTGGGCGCCTGGGTGGCTCAGTCGTTAGGCGTCTGCCTTCGGCTCAGGTCGTGATCCCAGGATCCTGGGATCGAGCCCCGCGTCGGGCTCCCTGCTCGGCGGAGAGCCTGCTTCTCCCTCTCCCACTCCCCCCCCTTGTGTTCCCTCTCTCTCTCTCAAATAAATAAATAAATAATCTAAAAAAAAAAATTAGCCAGCAGACGGATAGGTTTGCGGTTAAGAAGATTTATTTCATTACCTACAAGGTGCTTTAAGGAAGTATCACATTCGCATTCAGTACTATTACTTTCCTGTCCTCGGGACTTTAATGACCCGACTGTTACACCAGGAAAAGTGAGCTGTTCTGTACACACGTCAATTTCTTTTCCATGGTCATAAAGCAGTAGCAAATTAAGGGGAGGGGGAAATCCATGTCTTCTATCCAGATCCCTGTGGTTAGTATCAGATTGATTGGCAGGCATGTTTTGAAATGCATGTATGCTTTTAGAAGAATCACAGTGTTATGTATAGATAGATACAGATGTAGATGGATACACACCGAGAGATAGATCTCTTTTTTGTATTATCATTTTGCATACATTTTCCTCAACTGCTCGTCATGACGATGCTTTGAGTCTACACCTTCCTACTTTTTCTGCTGAGAATCTATCAAGAAAAGTAGTAAGCCCATACCAGAAACATGGACTAACAAACTGCCATAAAATTACTCTCTCTGGCCAGAATTTTCCAGGAAAAGGTGACAATTTAGCCTTACCTATTTTCTCTGATAGAAATAATAGCATATTTCACAGTTCGGCAATGGTTTCTTGAAAAAGATAGTTCAGTTATGGATGAGATATGCATACCTCCTCAGTCTCGTTTTTATAGCGGAAAATTGAAAGCTGGTCTCATTATCCATCACAGATATCATAACGTTTAGGGATGCCTTGTGGGCAGCCAGCCCAGAAAACTACAGGACATATGTCTTTGGAATGAAGAAGTAAAATTTAGCAGATGGGATTAATTTATTTTTTTTTCTTTCGGCTTTTTATGACTCTGCATATATAATAAAATCCTAATCAAAGACTTTTTTTCAAAATGTGGGAATGGTAATAGAGAAACATAATTTAGTATATCCTTTTCAACTCTGGTCAAGATTCATTAAGATGTCCTAGTGTGAAATCTCGAAGTAGCCACAATTTTAAGGACCACTGTGTCCACATTTTCAGTGGACTTCCGATGTGCTCAAAAACCCAGGCTGCCAACATGCAAGTGTTTAGGCCTGCATTGTAATTCTACTAGATCTGATCCAGAGTTGAATTCCCTGCTGCCCTCTGAAGCCCAGTACTCAGCAAGAAAGAAGGAAAGTGAGTTTGATAGTGGGCATTTCCCATACTCCTGTATTTAAAATTCAGGGGGCAAATTGACATTTTAATTGCACACAGATACAGGAAACCGGAGACATAAAGCATTCATTTTCCCCCCACTTGTAATTTTAGATCGGAAGCTTCTGTATTTCACACAAAATATTGCTCTTTGGCCCATGAAATCTGATGGCTTCAGAAAAGAAGAATGAGGTGTTCTTTCGATCTAGCTTATAAATGCATCGGAACCACACCTTTAATATGATAATGCTTTTTATTTCCCTTGTTCCTTGGTGTTACAGCCCTCCAGCCCCATGGTGAGGAAGGGGCTCAGGATTCCCTGCAGAGGCAATAACGCTCTTTCTGCCAGGACCACATATGGGGAGGGTGTGGAGTGAACGCTCCCCTGCCCCCCAACCCACCACTCCTCCAGCATTAAACTCAGCCTCCTGACTCTCGGGGCTTAGGAAATAGCTCAGAGTGAAGAATTGTTTTCTCTGAAAGTTATGCCTGAACATTCCTGCTAAAGCAGACAGTCATCAGCTAATCTCTGTAAATGACTACGATTTTGGCAGGTGTCAGCTGGTCCAGAAATTGCTCACATGTTAAAACATTTTTTTAAACATAGGGCAATGAGAGGGGACTGATAAAAAAAAAATAATAATAATCTCACGTTGTGCCTGGCCACAGGAGTGCATTACCTAAAATGACTTATTCTCGCTCCGTTTCTTGGTGGTACGTGGTCCCCAAGCTCGGTGGCTGAGACAGACACAACTGACAGCCTTTCTTCAAAGGCCAACCGTGGACTCCACAGTGCCGAATGCTTGTATTTAGAATGATCTCGTACACATCATTCTCCTGGATCACCCACTGTCCTTGACATGGTGTTCTTCAAAAATGCCACTGGGTGCCCAAGGAATGTGAAGTTTTGAAATGGGTACAAAGCCTGCTGGAAGCCTCTGCACTATGACTTCGCCAACCGGCATTCTTTTGGAGGCTGTAGAACTGTCCAGAATCGTTTTTCCTGCCTTTTTCTCTGCTCGACTCCTAATACTAGCCATTAGGTTGCTAGGCATTTAAAAGGCTAAATTACTGTGCTTTGAGTGGCTTTTGAGTTGGAATTGTTTGGGGGGCAAGAATATCAGATTTTTCAGTCTGATCACCAGAAAGCTAAGAATCTGTCACAAAGATAAGAGGAGGGAGGAGTCAGGGAAAGATCCATCCAGAGACAGTTACACCATGGCCGACTGAAATAGAACGTTCTAGAAAAAGACATTTTCATACTTCTGAGGGAAAGGGATGACAGGAGTGATTCCGGGACCTGGCCCGATGGCCTTTCGCCCACAAGGCCGGTGCTTAAAATACTCAGCCGGTAAGAGGCCTCTCACATGTGTGCTGGCCCTGCCTGTGTGACTCAGGCTGTTTGTGTTCAGGTCGAGGGTTGTGGGCTGTGGGGCTGAATCAGAGTCCAGATTTGCCTTGGTGACCTATGAAAAGAGGGAGCATTGCGTTTGAACTACACAGATATTATGCTTAAGTCGTTTTCCTCATTTGGGAGCCAAACAGGTCTTGTTCATGATAAAATCACCGCAATATAGTGGGGCCTTTTTTTGGTCTGGAATGTGAAACCATGTCAACTGTGCCAAGGGGCCTGGCAGCAGGAAGAGACGGCCAGCCACGGAGATTTGGAACCATAATACAAGTTATAAAATTTAATTTTGTAACTGTAGCGATTGGGAGCTGGGCTAAAATATACTTGTCCCACCCCGCTCCCAGCCTGGGCCGGGGTGGGGGTGGGATGGGGAGTGGAATCCACGGATCCTCTTTCTAAGTGAGGTCTGGGTCAGGACACGTGAACAAGCCCTCGATTATGGCAGCAAGCGGGCCGCTCCTCCAGTGTCGTTTGGAGGTCACCTGATGACAGCGGCGGGTTGGGGGGCGGGTGATGCTGGTGAAATTGGTCAGTGACTCTTCATTCGGACCCCAGGGGTGAGAAAGGAGCAAGGGCACATCCTCTTTGAAAGGAGAAGGGATTGCCTGGCCCCACGGTGGCTCTATCAGTGCACCCTGAGCCTCAGTTGTGCTTGATAGGCCTGCGTCTCCAGTGTGAAGCCCTCGTGTTGGGGGAGGAAGGAAGGAAACAGGAAGCGCAGCCCTCCTGGCTTGTCCCATGTGAATGGCTTCTGCTCACTGCATCCCGGTGACAGTGATTTGGATGGGGAACAAGGCAAGGATACTGATGGTCTATGTGGACAACAGAGAGGCCCACCTTCCCACCTTGGATTCCTGAGCCCTTGGGGGAAGCCCATCCAGCCTCCTGGCGTGACCTCTGGGCTCCAGGAGGCCCAGCCTTCTGGGAGGACTGGCCCGGATGAGGCCCAGGCTCCACCTTCCCGTCAACCCCCTAAAGCTTAGAGGGTACACCTAGGGAAGTCGGTTTCAGGGAAGAAGCATGCTGAAGAAGGCTCGTGAGACGCTTTCGAGGAGAAGCTTTAATCGCAGTCATTTACAGAGGGAGCGGAGAGGGGCCAAGGGGCTGCCCATGCCCTGCATTTAACAGGAAATCTGACCTCCCCAAGGACTGCGGGTTTGTAGCCACACCTCATTTCCTGTTGGAAGGGGCGTGTGCTAAGCTCCAGGGCCCACTTTGCTGCCTCTAAAACCTGCCGGTGGCTGGGTTTGCAGTAAGGAGCGGCGGTCGCGATGCCACAGGGAGGGCACCTTTCCTGGCTGCCGTAGCTCAGCCCGCAGCGCGTGGCCAAGTGCCAACCATTAATGCACCTTCTCTCCCGCCCGACCGTCCACCGCCACCAGTCCCTGTATGCCCACTGCCTTCTGCCCGGTGGAGATGGGCGCAGAGGGTTGGGGAGATGGGGCGCAGGCTGGGGGAGCACCCAGTGGCCTGTGATGAAAGGGCCCCCCCCGTCTGCCATGGGGACAATGGCCCCAAATTTCCTCGGGAAGCCAGCCCCGTGTGTGCCAATCTCCAGTAAATCCACATTGGGGGTGAGGGGAGAGGGAGGGGAAAGACGAGAAAACCCCCAATCTTAGAAAATCCACAATACATTTTCTGATCTTTTCCCTCCCTCCTTCCTTGCCTCCCTCTCCCCTTCCCACCCCCACTCCCTTCCCCCTCCCCACAATAGGACATCGTCAGAAACTAGATGATCAGACCAAGCCCGGGAGCTTGTCCTTTTCTGAGCGGCTCAGTGAGCTGGAGCAGCTGCGGCGAACGGCCATGAGGGTCAGCCCACACCACCCAGCCCCCACACCCAACCCTCGGGCCTCCTTGAACCACTCCACTGCCTTTAACCCTCAGCCTCAGAGTCAGATGCAGGGTAAGTACCTGGAGGGAGCCCGCTTCCTGCCTCGCCCTTGGGCTGCACCCCCCCAGACCAGTCCTGGCTTCTCCTCCTTGCTCAAAGGGTGGTCCTCACACCCGCAGTCTGGGAGCGCGCTAGACAGCAGAGTCTCTGGCCCGCCCGGGACCTCCTGAGTCAGATCCACGCTGTAATGAGATCCCCAGATCGAGAGGCACTGGTGCCTGGGCTATGGAGAGATATATCTATATGCAGATAATATCTTGAATTTTTTAAAAGTTAGCTTTGGCTCTGTTGTTTTCCTACCTACCCAGCAGGCTTGAACACACCACACACACACAGCCCAAGCAAGGTGAAAGTCAGGATGGTTCCAGTTCTTGTTGTCTTCAGATTATTTGTGGGGTTTGTATCTAATATATGTTCTTTTAAAAATATAAAGAAATACTAGGAAAGTCTGGATGCCAGCACATCAAAGGTATTATTTACAATAAATAAATGGACCATCAGTAAAGAATGCAGATGAACGCCCCCCCCCCCCCACACACACCATACACACATACCCGGGTTTAGCGAGCAATACCTATAGTTGGTAACAATTAAGAGAAAATCCTTATGCCTTGATGGTGAGAGTGTAAGTTAGTATATTTGGAAAACAAATTGCCAGTTTGGAAAACAAATGACTGTAAAATACAATAATTGCATAAAACACACTGTGCCAAATTAGATAATACACAGAGTTCATTTGCACTGTAGAAACCACTGACGTCAATGATTATTTGCTCTGTGATACCATTTCGAATTTCCGAAATGTAGTCATTTTCTTTATGTGCTGCGCAGGACACAGCTGCGTGGGATACGGTCACAGTAAGATTCTTTCTCCAAGTAGCAGGCTTGTCTAACTCAAAGGGAGAGATAAGCAACACATCTGGGGGAGAGGGCAGGTGGCCAGCCAGGGACATGCTACTTGCCCTCTGGGACCGCAGAAATTAGCTTCCCCAGGCGTTTTCACTGTGTGAGTCCTACCGGGGGATGTGTGCTCGTCATGAGTTTTTTAAGGTTTCCGGGCCAGTCGCTCCCTTTGGGGTTAGCACATGTGGGGCTCTCGAAAGGCAAGCATGCTCTCTTGCACAGAGTTTGATGGCTCATCCCACGAGCTCTCCTAGTTATGTGTCTGCGGAGGTTCTGTTATTTGAGTGGAAAGTTCCCAGAGAAGGCTTCCCGTCAGATACCGTGCCCACAGCTGCTAAGTGGCCCATCCGTAGGGTGGCCCCGTTGTCTCCAAACAGAAACCGAAGCTTGATGTTGGTGGGTTCTCTCTCATCTACGGACTCATCTTCGGTGTATTTAGGAGAAAGCCTCCTTGAAATCATCAGTTTTGTGGTGCTTATCATGAATACTTGTTCAAAATATGCATATTGATTTTTCTTTAAATGCCAAAATGCAAGTGTGTGTGGTAAATCGGATGGAGTTAAGTGAGAGAGATGGATGAGGGGTGAAATGAAACTTTCCTTCCAAACAGAACAAATTCTCGAGGAGATTCCTTCATCTTGTGTTTAGGGCCATTTAAATTAATTTATGCCATCTGCAGGCCTCCATTTGTAACAGCAAAGGGAAGCCTTCTGTTTTCTTATTCTCTCATCGTGTAACTGACGATTTAGCCTACTCGGCTGATAAAGGGACTTGCCTTCTTCTACTGATACTGGAACCCAAACTATGAAGCATTTTTAAAAGCAATGGAAGATTCAGCCACACGGCGGCAAGATGAAATGGTCACCGTTAAGTCAGCTTTGTTTCGGACAGTTTTGGTGAGGAGTGAATCAGATCTGATTTGCCTCCTTGTCAGATAGCTCTTTTTCCCAAAAAGAAGAGGGGGAGGGTGGTAAGTGAATTCTTGTCCTCAGCCGTCAGCAGCTCTTGGGGGGGGGGGGGGCGGGGGTGGAGATATTACCAGGGCCGAATGGGCATTCTTTAGCTCTTGGAATACTATATGCTTAGCAAAGGATCAGGTTTAACACAGAGCCTCACCCCTTTCTTGTTCCTTTTAAAAACTTTTTACTTCTGCAACATGTAAGTAGTAATAACTTGCTTTTAGAGTGCCCCAGAGGCTTGGTTGCTGCTCGAAAGAATGTGTTAACTATATTGCTGATTCCCTTTCTTTCCAAAATATGATTTGCCTATTCAATCCTTCACTTGTAAAATCGTAGGAGCTTTTTAAAAAAAATAACTATCCAGGATATATTCACGTAAAACTACTTTTCCTTTTCTTTCTTTCTTTCTTTTTTTTTTTTTCTGTAAGAAAATGCTTTTTTATCCTAGTCATGTTTTGAGTAGACCCTTGGGATGTTTTTTCCCCTGAAATTAGAAAGTTAACAGGGATAATAGTAAAGTCTCTTTCAGCCAGAACCTTCATTTTGTTCTTGACAAGTAGGAAAATGGTTATTTTCCTGGCTTAGCTCTAGAGACTCCATATTATATTTAAGAAGATGCTTTATATAAAAATCCAGCCTGTGTTTATGGCTCGCTATGAAACGGCAGCCATCGTCGTAAGAAAAATATCCCAAAGGTAGTCACAGCAATGCCACAGCGTGCCGTACAGATGTGTGAATGTTTCCAGCCTCGGGAAATATCCGCGACTGGGGGCTTGGAGGGATCGTGGGTTGACAGAGAGGATGGGGCTTCATCCGGAGAGTTAAGCCTGCCCCTTTAACTCTGTCAGTAGGAAATCACAGATCTATAATAACACCTCTATTTATCTAGAATCAGATGTGCGGAGAATCACTCAAAATAGGCATCTCAAATTATCTGAAGCAGGATAAGGGAAGAGGGGGGCAGGTTGTCATGCCACCAAACCACTGTTTACTTGTTGAGGTTTTAACTATTAAAAGGGCTGAGGTTAACTTCAACTTCCTCCTTCACGGGCTCTTAAAAGTGAATAGAAAGCCATTTTTGTCATGGCTGCACGATTAGTTAAGGAAGACATCGTCTCGAACTTCTACAGGCGGGTTTTAGAATTCGTGTTCAGTCATGGGAAGGAACACGGACACGTGTCCTTTTAAAAGATGGGACAGCACAGATGCTAGCGAGATGAAGTCGCTGATGCTGATGGGTCACACACACTCTCCTAGAGAAGGCTCCAGGCAACCCCAGCAAGTAATTTTAAGAATTTGACTCCCGATTTACCAAAAATGATGAACCACATTTAAGGCTGCATAAACCCCTCTTTCTGGGAAGATGGAGACAGGCTAGTATCTGCTGGTGCAGAAAACTGGACAAAGAGGCCAGTTTTGTTGTTCTTGCGTGCGTTGCCATAATCGTCAGGGCGTGAGGTTTAACTCTTTAACTGGACCGGTTATGATAGCTTTTGGCACAGGTCAAGCCTTTTGTATGCATTATCCCGCTCTCACCACAATCCTGGGGTGTGGTTTAGAGACAGAGCAGCTGAACCTCAGAGGTTAACAATTGCCCAGAGTCTCCAAGAGCATAAGTGACAGACTTGGACTCAAACCCAGACCTTTCTGGGCTACAGAGCCAGTGTGGACAAGGTGGCAGGTTCTCTGGGATCGAGGATCGATTAGACACAGGGCTGACCAGCGTCAAGGGAATCCCGATCATCAAAGGGGACATGGGAGAAGTACGGGGCTGGGCATTCCCTTGGCGGGCCTGTGTTGAATATGGTCTGTTATTATTAGATATTGCTAATAATGAGAACCTTAGGGCCAGACTCTGTGATGGGCACCTCGATAAGCTGTTTTTTTGGGGGGATGGCCGGTGGGGGGACATGTACATTTATTTTTCAAGTTGGGGACAAAAGAAAACTTAACTCAGAATAATGCATCTCTCGCGCGAGGGAATGAGGGACAAGGGGGAGGAGGAGGGCTTCCCAGCTACCCTCTGTCTGCTTTACTGGGGCGACAGCCTGGCCTTCCTGCATGGAAGAGTCTGCCTTGGGGTCCACTGGGACCAAAGCCTCCTTAACGTCCAAATCCAGGCAACCTCTGATCAGCGTTGAGGAGTGTGGGTACCTCGCTTTGAAGGTTGATAGTATGGTCAGGGAGCAGAGACCCCGACATCTCAGATTCACCTCCTCAGTTTTTGTCTTCCAAATGTTTTTTGTGTGGATAGTGATTTTCCCCAAAGGATAAAGTTACTTTGGAAAGACTATGTTCTCTGGTACTGTTGTCTGTGACGCTTTTTGAGATATGAATTGCCTTGGTTCCTCCCCTATTATTCAGGCTTACTTATGTCAGTGTTTACCAGATGCATTGACAAAAGGGGAAAAAAAAAGCCTTTCCACTTCCCTGTAGAAGGGACAGAGAAATCCCCTTTCCAGCCTTGGGAGTAAAATACCGAACTGCATAGCACTTCTCTTTTCTTCTTCTTCCTTCTCTGTCTCTGTCTCTCTGTCTCTCTGTCTCTCTCTCTCCTTCCTTCTTCTTCTAGAAGTTCAAAATCAAAGGGGGGATGGGAGCCCTTTGATAACCTTGGAAGTAAAGACGACCATCAGACACCAGAAATGTGCACGTATAGATCTATCGGTGGTCTTTTAATGGTCACACGACAAAGCAAAATAGTCAGGGCGCTAGGAATCAACACAGAAGGCATGCTGTAAACTTGAAAAGTGAATGATTTAAAAATAACTCTTATCTAGGTGTGGTAGAATTTGAGAGCCTTTCAAGGTTGACGACAGAATCTTACATGGTTGACATCAAGCCTAGATCAGGTGTCCCCATGAATAAATCAAAATAAATAAATGCAAGGGGGAAGGAAGGGAGGGAAAAAGAAAATGGTGGAATGGATGCGTGATGAAGGGCTGACACGTGGGGTGGGAGCCAGCTGAGGGGTGCCACGACCCTGTCCTGTCCCCTCTTCTCCCAAGCAGGCAGAGGGGTTAGAGTTAATAGGGCTAGAAGCAGGAATTGAGAACTCAGTTCATGTTTTCTGTGTTCTGGGCCGGTGCAATGTAAACTGTAGGTTTAGGGAAAGTGTGAAAAGCTCATACTAATGAGTGGCGTCGTAGT